AGGTGTTGTGTGTCGGACTTGAATGAGATGGTAGGTGCATTGGGGGTCAGTATGGTGCTTTGACAAGGGGGGACTTGCAGCTTACTCTTAGTGCTCAGTTGTATCAGTTGGCCACTGTAAATTAAGCACCTTTTGCAGATCAATCAGGGATGCCCCCCCCCGCCCCCCCCCCCCCTCCCCCCGCGGATTTGTTTCGCAAAGGTAAATGACCAACTGCAATGTGTCAATCCGAATGATGTTGGACGTGAACAGGAATCGCTTGCAGCGCCGCAAGTGCCCCTCAGTGCCATTTCAAGCCTGAATCGGTGGGATACCATGCATCTCCTTTGGCAGGCTCTTGAGTTCTTAGTTTCCAGGAAGCCTTGCCGAACCAGCATCGGGGATGCCGGAAGTCCCATCTGAACAGGCTTGGCTCATTGACCATGGGTTTGCGTTGTTCCCTTGTTCCTGGCCCACGATGTTTCTCGAGGCAACGACACCAAGAGTCGTGTGATCAAGCTCTTTCGACAGTGGGATGCTTCGGGCGACGGACGCATCTCACAGGACAAGACGGGGGGAGGGGATAGCGGTTTGACTTCCGGTGTGTGGAGGTTTCCTCAAGCTGGCAAGCCCTGAATGTGACTCAGTTCCTCCTTGGAATGAAGTCGTTTTGGATGATTTGTTGACTTGTGGTTGATGATTTGGGTTGTTCCCCCAACGGCCAGCTGTCACCCCTTTTGGAAGACCATTTGAATGCAGCTGCAACTAGACAGCATTCCCTGCAAGGCCACGCGGGTTGAGATTAGATGTTTGTGTTCATTCTTGCTTGCCTGGTACGTACATCGCCTGGTATCGCTGCTGGTGTTGATGTTGATGCAAGGCCACTGAATGAGTGGTCCGAATAAGCAGTTGAATTCAATCGGATGAGATTCGGAGCATGTATCGCAAAGAGCTTCTCCGCCCAAGCACACGTGCTGGTCAAACTTAGGGGGTCCTCCTGCTTTGTAACATCTTCAAACAGAACCGCAAGGAGCAGCATGCAGGCCTCGATGGTTTTGACATGCAGACCCGCTGTGTTTTGCAAGCTTACCTACCTAGATATTACTGCACTCCAGGAGGAAATGTGCAGAGTCCTCGTGAAGCTGGGCATGAGCGACGAAGACAGCAGCTGGCCAGAGATTGGGTGCTGCTTTGCCAATTCCTTACTCATCCTTGTTGCACAATGTACACATCGTGAATACGTGATGCAATGTAAGCCTGTCTCGAGACGCTGCATCCTGACATGCAGCAGTACTTTGAACTGACTGAAGAAAGCACTGCGGTCTGCTGCTGCGCGGATGTATGATTCATTCGATGGTGGAGTTGACTGAGCAATCACTGTCATTGACCGCAAGTTACAATGCAAGTTTAGACGTGTAAAACTGTAGCTAGCGTCGAAATGCACATGATACTTGTAGCCCTTGAATTCCCGTAGTTGAGCAGCAATGCCGCCTGCGCCCAGGCAAGAAAGTCTTCCAGGAAGCGGACACCAACAGTGACAACTTTGTGTCCTACCACGAGTTTGTGCCTGGCCCAGTTGATCCTAGCTGGGAATGCGTGGGCATGTGGATGTGGGGCCTTCCTCCAAGAAATGGAGATATACATGAGCAACGGTCAATATGCACGGCACATGTCCATTAGCAAGTGGCGGGGGCTATCAAATTATGCAATATTCCTGATGCCACGGCTCGCGTAGTCTTCGAGGATTGAGCATGGAATTTGGGGGAGGCGTCACTTTTGTCATATCGTCTTGAGGTCCCCCCGCAACTATCAACCACATCGGGTGACGAAATTGAAGGCCCTGTTTGGTGAATGTGTGCCTTTGACGAGTGCCGTGAAGGGAATTGTGAGTTTGTCATGCCTTTTGTTGAGGAGCTGAAGGGAAATCCTGGATGGTTCATCTCCTGTGTTGGGGCGATTCTTCCGGAAAATCGCTGGAGAGGGCTAAGGCAAACGAGGCAGGAAGCTCAGGAGTTTAAGCTTGACAAATGTGAGGGATGTAAATTGAAGAGGTTTCAAAATGGAGTACCAAGATTGGACCTGAATCCGGAGGTAAACGTGGGGACAGCTATCCATTTCGAAGCAGAGTCATCGTCGCAGAGGGCATATGACTGACTGCATGATCAAACATTTCAAGCAAGCTTGGCATCCTGTTTTGTCGGAAGCAAAGGGTTCCGCTGAAGGCTGGGCATGCGCAAATTGCACACACGTTACTTTGGTTCCGTTAGCTTTCCCATTCGACCCTTCCGCTCTTTGTAGATATGGAACAGACCAAGCTATTCACTTGTAGATGCTATTTGTTTGTCGTGGGCTAAAACAGAGTCTTTCAACTGTTTCGGCCATTGCTTCCTTTTGAGTGTTGATTGCGTCCTAGCCGTTGTATACATCAAACGCATTGTTGGGCTGCCCGGGAAGGTGATGCTTGTGATTGAGCTACCCTTCAATAAGCGCATAATTGGTTTGGCTGTGACTTGCAAGATGTCATGATGTACTGTCAGTGCACTAGCTGATGCGAGACGTGTTTGGTGCGCTTGTGTGATTTGTGGGGCTTAGCTTTTTGCTGCATAACTACCCATCCTAGAAACTTCCCGTTGACATTTCAAGCAAAAGCAAAGCGACAAGAACCAGTGGGGCCATCCAAATTTGTTTCCTGTTGGTACGTACCCCTTTATCTCGGACCGACAGTCGAGCGCACACAGCGTGAGCGGTGTGGCGCTCTGCAGGTACGTACCCCTTTAAAAACCAACCCAGGGAAGGTCCCATTTGTGATTTGTAGCTCAGGTGTACTGGCTCTACGGTGCCAAGGGGCGGCCCAGCCTGAAGACTATGAGCTGAGCGCGGCGTTTGTGGCTCTTTTCTGGGGGCTGGTTTCTAGGCATTTGCTTCCTGGAGCCAAACACGCCTCTTAGAATTGAATTCAAACCCGAAGGCTTTGGCAAGAGGACAAATTCAAAAAGACGGGGTGAATCCAGAAAAGAGAGAGTGAACCAAGTTGCAGGTGCGAATTTGAGCTTGGCTGTTGGGACTTTGCATCTGGGCGGTGCTTGACAAAAGCAGAAAAGTTAGCCCCTGTCCGGAGTCAGAGACTGCTTCACAGGATGGGTTGGACACCATGCACCATCAAAGGTAGTTTGAAGAATGGCTGACGGGTCAGGGACTGTCGATGTTGCTTTGCGAGTAACAAATCCGATATGAGAAGATGCAACTTCGAAACACTCATGTTTGGGCTGCTGTGCCAGTGATTGTGTTAGGGTGGAATGAAGAGCTTCCTTTCAAACATGACCCCAAGATATGGGAAGCTGTTCGTGTTGATGGTACCCTTTCAGGTTGGTTTGAAGAACATCCAAGTGGAGACTCGCCCCTCTGGCGGTCCCCGTATCTTGAATCACAGACACTGATATTCGGGGTTTCCTCCAATGGAAGCCATTCAACGCAGGGAGGTGTGTTTGGCGATGGGCTATCGGTTGAGACCTCCGGCGCTTGAGCCACGAGTTTCACTCGCAAGCTTGGGAGCGGGGTTGTGTGTCCAATTGGTATCTTGTCAAGACAGCAAGGGGTGAAGGAAACTTACCATAAATGCCAATCATGAAATCCGCGGGATATTGGATTTGACTTGAGTTGGGCTAGGGCCACAATTTCCCAGACGGATCCCAAGGAAATCTACCTTCCCCGTTGCAAAAGCGCCCCTTGACAGATAAGAGCACCTGCTCTCACAACTGCATGCACGCCAGCCAAATCACCCTTGGTGTTTGTCTTTGTGCAATAAGATTAGGAGAACATGCCTCAAAACAAGGCACCTTTGTTTGGCTTATTCCAGAAGAAGATCAAACAATCAAAGGGATCCCCGGCTTTTCACGTTGGTGCCATGAAGGGGTGAATTTTCTTGAGGGACGGCACTAAGCAGCAAGGGCATAGAATGCCAAAGGAATTGGAAGGCAGTGATGGTAGTGCTGGGCACCTTCTACTCATCTCAACTGGGGCCAAAGCAGGCTCACCTTGTTTCCAGTGAGGAATTGTAGAACATTTGCCCAGACGGTTCCATCAAACTGCTTCCAAACAATGCCAGATGGTGTGGCCAGTCTTGGCATCGCTTGCATGACCTTGGCCGTGCTTAGTACTTTTTGCAAAGCCGTGCCAGTAGAACAATTTTGCTTGAGGAATGTTTCATGTTAGGGAAGTCCATTTGATATGTTGTAGTCATTTGAAATCATCCAAAGTCGACCTTAGGTTTCTGGAAGCTGTCCCGCTAGACATGTCAACGATGGAAGACACGTTTGACTGCCAGACTCCAGACTCCCAAGCTGCCATTGGGTGTTTCCGAAAATAGGGAACCCCCTTTTATCCGAAAAGGGGATCCGTATGTTAGGAAAACACATTCATTAGTCTCAAGCTGCCTGTGTCCCAAAAGGGACATGAGGAGACAGGCATCAAAGCGCGCCACGGAAAAAGTTTTAGCGCAGCTTGTGCTTCTACTGCGGATTTCCAGGATGTGGCAAGTGGCAAACAAAAACCAAAACAACCGATACAAGTCAAGGTGTGTGGTTGGTTTGCTTGTAGCATGGCTTTGGCAATTGCACTTACCTCCCTTTGCTCCAAACCAATCATGACGGTCCCTTGTTCATGTTGGTGGTTACCGAAAGCCTGAATCAGCTACACGCCAAGTCTGGTTAATTCAAGATCACTAGTTGAATCAACTGCCAGACGTTTCCGTGGGCAACTGGCCACATTCGGGACCTGTTTCGGTGACAGCGTCGCCTTTGCCGGTGAAGGTCACCATTTTGGTTTGTCGTGGAGAGCCGGGGGAGCCACCGATGCCTACTAGAAAGCTCACGTGCAGGCCTCAAAAAGCTAGAGTGAGGGCACCCTCGTGGCATGCTGAGTTTCCCTTCAAATTGGCGAAAGTGCGGGGCGGATTCCCCTGGTTTAAGCCCCCTCTGGCCCCTCCATTTCGTTGCGCCAAATCTGGCCATCAAAACGCGCAG